CCACAACCACCCTCCCCCACCACACACACCCACTCCACAACCACCCTTCCCCTTTACACACCCACTGCGCTTCTCACTCACACTTACCACTTCATTTCGATGTTGAACACACATATATCCGGTCTGATCCGGTAACCCCTCTCCGCAAGGCTGTTCCGGAGAATTCTGAAGCATTTACAGCTCAGAGGCAGGTCACCCCACCCCAGTGAATGACACTGACGGAGGGGAGCCAGCCCATTATGTCTGCACTGCCGCTGTGAATGAGCTTCTCATCTCCTGCCGTTCTGACCCCCTTCTTTCCCCCCTGCCCCATACCCCTGCTCATTCTTCCCTTTTCAAATACCCACCGGCCTCTCTTCTGAACGCTTCGAATGAGTCTATCTCCACCACACGCCCAAACGGCGGCCTTTCTGATGCTGACCGCTCACTGCCCTTCCTCAATGGTCTCCTTTGTTTTTTTTTTGCCGATTCCCTTCAATCTGTGTTCTCCAACTCTCGATCCATTCGCAAGTGGGAACAGCGTCTCCCTATCTAGCCCGTCCAGACCCCTTCATCATTTTGACAGCCCCCCCTCAGATCTCGTCTCAACCTTCTCTCCAGAACAGTCTCAACTTCTTCCATCCAGCCTCAGCACTGGGGTTCTCCTTTCCTGGAACCATTCTTGTAGATCGCTTGGGGAAGTGTTTCAACCCCACACCAGTTTTTTTGACTCCCCCTGGATCTTGCTGCATCATGAGATCCTTCTATTCCTTTCTCCGCTGAATTTATCCAGTATTCCCTTGAATGTATCAACACACCTCACCTCAACTACTGGCTGTCAGAGCGACTTTGACATTTGACCCCTTCCCTGACAGAAGAAGTTTCTCCTATTGGGATTTATTAGTGATTGCCGTACATTTTCCTATTGGGATTTATTAGTGATTGCCGTACATTTTCCTATTGGGATTTATTAGTGATTGCCGTACATTTATGTGCCCCATGTTTGGGTTCTCCCCTACACTGTGAAAATGCCAAAGTCTTTTGATCAGCTTCAAAGCAGTATTACAGAACGTGAGATTTGCTGAAAAAAGACAGACTTTGTCTAAGAGTTCCTCTTCTAATCATCAGGATAGTTTGCAAGAATACCAATTCAAGGAGCGAGCTAATGCTGGCTTTTCTCTTTGACTTGGTGTTCTTACATATAGTCCTGATGAGTACACAAATGTGTCTTTTTTTCAGTGACGTTTTCAGACTATTGATGGTCTCTGATCGACCATAAGATACAGGAGAAGATGAAGTCCATTCAGCCCATCAAGTCTACTCCACTATTCAACAAGATCATGGGCTGATCTGATAATCCTCACCTTCACTTTCCTCCCTTTTCCCCATAACCCTCAATACCCCTCACTGATTATAAATCCGTCTGTCTCAGCCTTGAATATACTGAATGACCCAGCCTGGACAGCCCTCTGCAGCAAAGAATTCCACAGATTCACTCCCCTCTGAGAGAAGGAATTCCTCCTCCTCTCTGTCTTCAACGTGCACCCCCATTATTCTGAGATTATTCCGTCTGGTGCTAGACTCTCCCACATGGGAAAAGAATCTCTCTGCATCTGCCCTGTCAAATCCTCTAAAATTCCTGCTTTATTATGGCTGCCTCTCGTTCTTTAAACTCCAATGAGGCCCAACAGGCCCCAACCTACTCAACCTCTCCTCTAAAGACAGTCCCTCCATTCCCAGGATCAGTCAAGCGAACCTTCTCTGGACTGCCTCCGACATCAGTATGTTTTTTCCTTAGATAAGGGGCCCAAAACTGTTCAGCTAGGGTTTGTACAGTTTTAGTAAAGCCTCCATTTTCTTTGAAATAAAGGCCAATATTCCATTTGTCTTTCCTATTACCCACTGAACTTGGAGAGTGGCTTCTTATGATTCCTGGGCAAGGATTCCCAAATCCCTGCATCCTGTAGATTCGCCGTTTAAATAATATTCAGCTCCTCTGTTCTCTCTGCCAAAGAGCATAACCATCAATTTCTCCATTATATTCCAACTAGCAAGTTTTTACCCACACATTCGACCTGTCTATATTCCTCTGCAGCCTCTTTATATCATCCTTGGTACTTAACTTCCCAGCTATTGTTGTGCTGTGGGAAGATGAGCTGGTTTTCCTCAGGTTTAAGTTGGGTTTTGACTGTGGAGAGCAGAGAGACGGCCCCTGTGCTGATTGGGATCTGATCGCTTCTCTCTGGGTCTTGCTCCCAGCTGCAAGCTGTTCAGCTACCTGAGACCCATTCACACAGTTGGTTGGTGAGCAGAAGGCTTCTGTCATAGCTGACTCATCCCTAGTCTATAGACCAGTCTACTTGGTGATAACTATGGCCACTTCTGCACACAATCCCTCAGCTGCAATTCATCTACAACCCAGACTTGCCTTGCTGCTCATTTTTATGTCATTTGCAAGGGTCACTGTAGCATGTTCCCTCTCCTGATCCAAGTTGTTAAGGTATATTGTATTGTAGCTCAGTTGGCTAGACAGCATGTTTGCAATGTAGAGTGATGCTAACAGTGTGGGTTCAATTCCTGCATCTGCCTGGGCTAACCACAAAGGACTCTCCTTCTCAACCTTTGCTCTTGCCTGAGGTGTGGTGACCCTCAAGTTAAACCACCACCTCTTTGCAATGAGCGAGTGTGTCTATGGGTTGGTAGGATTATAGTGACTTTACCTTTGGTATGTAATCATGGCCTCAGCACTGGTCCCACTTACAAGTTGTCATCCTGAAAATGTCCCACTCATTCTGACTCTCTATTAGTTAGCCAATCGTCTGTTAATGGTAGTATACAACAGTGGGGCTATACAACACCATGGGCTCTCTGTTATTAAGTGGGTAATTGTGTGGCACCTTACCAAATGCCTCTTTGTGCCCTTGGCTTTGCTGTTTGCATTGCCTGTTGCCCCTTGATGTTGGCGTGTTCTGGGGTGGATTGTGTGTGTGTGTGTATATGTTGGCGGGGTGTGTGTATGTATGTTGTGGGGGGGCGGTGTGTATGTTGGGGGTTGGTTGGGTGTGTATGTCGGGGGTGGGGGGGGCAGGTGTGAATGCCGCTCGCTGACCTTCCTCTGCTCTCTCGTTGCAGATGGTGCCGACGGTGACGATGACCCCAGCTGCTCGTGGCCTCCCTCGTCGCCGTCCAGCAAGGACCACGCGTCGCCCAACCCCGGGGAGACAGGAGAGTTTGGGGGTGGGGAAGAGGAGGGCGTGCCCGGGCTGCCGTACCCTTGCCAGTTCTGTGAGAAGTCCTTCAGCCGCCTCGGCTACCTGAAACACCACGAGCAGAGCCACAGCGACAAGCTGCCCTTCAAGTGCACCTTCTGCAGCCGCCTGTTCAAACACAAACGGAGCCGAGACCGCCACGTGAAGCTGCACACCGGCGACAAGAAGTACCACTGCAGCGAGTGCGACGCCGCGTTCTCCCGCAGCGACCACCTCAAGATCCACCTGAAGACCCACACCTCCGCCAAGCCCTACAAGTGTGCCATCTGCCGAAGGGGCTTCCTCACCTCCAGCTCGCTGTACGGGCACATGCAGGTCCACGACAAAGCCAAGGAGAGCGGGCAGGCCCTCTCCCGCCTGGATGACTGGCGGCTCCACGACTCCCAGAAGTGCAGCCAATGCGAGGAGGGGTTCGACCGGCCCGAGGAGCTGCAGAAACACATCGCCGACTGCCACCCCGAGTGCTCGCCCTCCGAGGACCGAGAGACCTGCCAGTGCCCCTACTGCCCAGACCTCTTCCCCGAGGAGAGCGGCCTCCTCGCTCACCTGGAGCGGGCGCACGCCCGGGCCAAGGCCGGCCCCTGCTGCGGCGCCTGCGCCGAGCGCCCCCTGTCGGCGGGAGGTCCGTGCCCCCACCCCCGGCCCCCCTCGGAGACCGGCAACCGCAGCAACAGCCCGTCCACCGTCACGGTGGTGGGCTACACGTCGGTGTCGAGCACCACGCCCGACTCCAACCTCTCGGCGGACAGCTCGTCCGCTCCCGACCCCTCCGCGCAGGTCCCCAGGGGGCGCCCCAAGAGGCGGGAGGCCCAGCCGGCGCCTGAGGGGAGCCCGGCCCTGAAGAGGCCGAGGGCCAGCTACAGCTGCCCGCACTGCCACAAGCAGGTCTTTGGGAGCCTGGCGGGGCTGTTGGCGCACCTGAAGAGTGCCCATGCCGAGCAGCCCGAGCAGGCCCACCCCTGCCAGCTGTGCTTGGAGGTGCTGCCCTCCATCTACAACCTCAATGAGCACCTCCAACAGAGCCACGAGGGCCTACAGGACTCCCCTCCCCTCGCCAGCACCACCCCGGCCTTGGTCTACCAGTGCAACTTCTGTCCCCAGGCCTTTGGTGACCTCAATGGGCTACAGGAGCACATCCGGTGTGTGCACAGCTATGGAAACCTGCTGACCAAGGACAGCAATGCCTTCTTCTGCCCACACTGCCTGATGGGATTCCTCACCGAGGCCTCGCTTGATGATCACATCCAGCAGGTCCACTCTGAGCCCGCTGCCACCCGCTTCGACTCCCCGCTGCTGGCAGGCTCCAAGGAGGCCATGGTGGAGGTCTTCTCCTGCTCCTACTGCACCAACTCGCCCATCTTCAACAACGTCCTCAAGCTCCAGAAGCACGTCAAGGAGAACCACAAGAACATCCCCCTGGCCCTCAGCAACAACAACCACCACCACCTCCACCACCTCCACCACCTCCACCACCTCCATCACAGCAGCAAGCGCTCCAGCCGCGCTACCAGTCCCCTCTCGCCCCTGAGCACGGAGCAGGCCTCGGCCAAGGGGCCTCACGGTGCAGCTGGCACTGCCCCCTCACAGCCTGTCGGCGAGTATTGCTGCAACCAATGCCCGGGCACGTTCGCCACCTTCGACAGCTTCCAGGCCCACCTGAAGACCCATGTGGGGAGTGCCAAAGCAGTGGTGTGCCCACAGTGCCACAAGGAGCTGCCATCCCAGGAGGCCTTGCTGAAGCACGTCACTGTGCACTTCATGATCACCTCAACCTACTACGTGTGCGAGAGCTGTGACAAGCAGTTCACCAGCGTGGAGGACCTCCACAAGCACCTGCTGGAGATGCACACCTTCGTCTTCTTCCGCTGCACCCTGTGCCAGGAGGTCTTCGACTCCAAGGTGTCGGTGCAGCTCCACTTGGCCGTCAAGCACAGCAATGAGAACAAGGTGTTCCGCTGCACGTCCTGTGACTGGGACTTCCGCAGCGAGGCCGAGCTGCAGCTACACGTCAGGCACCACCACCTGGAGCACCAGGGCAAGGCGCACAAGTGCATCTTCTGCGGCGAGAGCTTTGGCACCGAAGTGGAGCTGCAGTGCCACGTGACCAGCCACAGCAAGAAGTACAACTGCAAGTTCTGCAGCAAGGCCTTCCACGCCATCATCCTGCTGGAGAAACACTTGAGGGAGAAGCACTGTGTCTTCGAGGGCCAGGCTCGGGACTGCGGTGCCAACGGCTCGGGTGAGCAGGCCCACAAGGACGAGGCAGAGCTGAGGCAGCTGTTGGCCAACCACCAGGAGGTGCACAACAGCCACGAGGGAAGTGAGGAGGACGTGGACGCCGTGGAGACCATGTACACCTGTGATATCTGTGGTGCGGCCTACACCATGGACTCGCTCCTGCAGAATCACCAACTGCGGGACCACAACATCCAGCCGGGAGAGAGCGCCATCATCAAGAAGAAAGCTGAGCTCATCAAGGGCAACTACAAGTGCAACGTCTGTTCCAGAACCTTCTTCTCAGAGGGTGGTCTTCGTGAGCACACTCAGACCCACCTGGGTCCAGTCAAGCACTACATGTGCCCGATCTGCGGCGAACGCTTCCCCTCCCTCTTGACTCTCACCGAGCACAAGGTCACCCACAGCAAGAGCCTGGACACGGGCACTTGTCGCATTTGCAAGATGCCCCTCAAGTGTGAGGAGGAGTTCCTGGAGCACTGCCAGATGCACCCGAACCTGCAGAACTCGCTGACTGGCTTCCGTTGCGTGGTCTGTATGCAGACGGTCACCTCTACCTTGGAGCTGAAGATCCATGGCACCTTCCACATGCAGAAGACGGGCAGCTGCGCCAACCCTCAGCCTGCCCCCCACGGCCTGCCCCTGCAGAAACTCTACAAGTGTGCCTCGTGCCTGAAGGAGTTCCGCTCAAAGCAGGACCTGGTGAAGCTGGACATCAACGGGTTGCCATACGGACTCTGTGCCCACTGCATCAACGGCAACAAGCATGGCAGCCCAACGGTGGGAGTCACCAGCCTCAACGGTAACCGGCAGGTCTCGGAACAGAGCCCCGGCAACGGCAAGGGCGGGCCGGCCAAGAACCGATGCCTGAACTGCAACGTGAAGTTCGAATCCGACAGCGAGCTCCAGAATCATGTCCGGACCATCCACGCTGAGCCAACCCCTGACAGTAACCATCACCTGAAAACGCCCCAGGTCTCGCCTATGCCCAAAGGCAGCTCCCCGCAACCAGAGGAGGTAATTACACGTCAAATACCCCCCGTGACAGGGTGAAGGGGGCAGCTTTTCCTTGCTGGCAGGGCATTGTTGGGGTAGGTGGTGCGGTGTGGATATCAGCAGCCTGATGGTGTGGCGTTCTACCCTGGTGAAAGATTCCGTATCAATTTCCTTGTATTTCCTGAACCCGCGAGATAGCATCTGAAATGCTGTGTACAGACCTGGCCACTCACACCTATGGAAATGGTGGGGGGAGGGGTTGGGTTACAGAGCTCTGGGATGCAGAGGGATCTGGGTGTCCTTGTGCATGAATCGCAGAAGATTAGTCTGCAGGTACAGCAAGTAACCAGGAGAGCTCACAGAACGGTATGGTACATCTTGAGGGGTGTGGAATACCAGAGGAAGGAGGTGAATGTTGAACATATGTTCTCTCCTGGGAGAGAGTCTCAAATAAGAGGGCAGAGATGTACAGTGAGAGGAGGTAGGTTCAAAACTGAGATGAATAATTTGGATGTAAATATTGGAGGCACGGTTAGGAAGTTTACAGATAACACCAAAATAGGTGCTTAATGGACAGCGAAGAAGATGACCCCAGAGCACAACAGGACCTTGATCAGACGTGCCAATGGGCCGAGGGGTAGCAGACGGATTTTAACTTAGGTCAGTGTGAGGAATTGCATTCTGCAAAGGCAGATCAGGGTAGGAATTATATAGTTAATAATAACGTTCTGGGGAGTGTTGCTGAACAAAGAGAACTTGGGGTGCAGGCACTTAGTTCCTTTAAAGTGGAGCCACAGGTAGACAGGTTAGAGAAGAAGGTGTTTGGTACGCTTGCCTTTATTGGTCAGTGCATTGAGTACAGGAGTTGGGAGGGTCATGTTGTAGCTGTACAGGACATTGGTTAGACCGATTTTGGAATACTGTGTGTAATTCTGGTCTCCCTGCTATGAGAAAGATGTTGTTAAACTTGAAAGGGTACAGAAAAGATTTACAAACATCTTGCCAGGATTGGAGGGTTTGAGCTATAGTGAGAGGCTGAATTGGCTGGGGCTATTTTCCCTGGAGCACCAGAGGCTGAGGGGTGACCTTGTAGAGGTTTGTAAAATCATGAGGAGCGTGGGTAGGGTGAATAGCCAAGGTCTTTTTCCTCAGGGTAGCGGAGTCCAAACTTAGAGGGTGTAGATTTAAGGTGAGAGGGGAAAGGATTAAAAGGGACCTAAGGATCAACTTTTTCACGCAGAGGGTGGTGCGTGTACAGAACAAGCTGACAGAGGAAGTGGTGGGGGCTGGTACAATTACAACATTTAAAAGGTATCTGGATGGGGACATGAATAGGAAGGTTTAAAGGGATATGGGCCAAATGCTGGCAAGTGGGACTGGATTAATTTAGGAACACAGCAGGCCAGGCAGCATCAGAGGAGCGTCAGAAATCTGAAGAAGGGTCCCAAACTGAAACATCAACTTTCCTGCTTCTCTGATGCTGCCTGGCCTGCTGTGTTCCTTCAGCTCTACACTGTGTTGTCTCTGGCTCCAGCATTTGCAGTTCTTACTATCTCTGAGATTAATTTAGGATATCTGGTTGGCATGGACAAGTTCAACTGAAGGATCTGTTTTCGTGCTGTATATCTCTATGACTTTATGGCCTTCTGTGGCAGAGAATTCCACAGGCTCCCCTCTCTCTGGGTGAAGACTTTCTCCTCATCTCAGTCCTAAGTGGCCTTGCCCCGTATCCTAAGACAGTGAGCCCTGGTTCACTTGTGAGAGAATACGATGGAATATGAGGCTGTGCAGTGAAGGATATGGAGACTGAGGATTGACTGAACTGTGAGTGTTTCAGTTTGTGCTTCACGAAGTGGCAAGACGGATTTGTCGATGGGAAAGGGGGAATTTGACAAGGGTCATGTTTGCCCTGAACTGGAGGGCTCAGGGCATCTCACTTTAGGAAGGAAGTCACAGCCTTGGAAAGAGCAGAATTTGAATCCAGCTAATTCATAATTCTGCAATTGAAATCTTGTTTCAGTAGTGATTAAACTACTATCGATTTTAGGGAAGGAAACTGCCATCCTTACCTGGTCTGACCTACGTGTGACTCCAGGCCCACAGCAATGAGGTTGACTCCTAGCTGCCCTCTGAAATGACCTAGGTAGCCACTCAGTTCAAGGGGCAGCTCAATAGTGGCCTTGCCAATGATATCCGCAGTCCATGAAAGAAATTTTTTAAAATATCAGGTGTGTGGTAAGACAGTTCTTGTTTTGACACTGTTGTTTTAATAGGTTTACAACATGTAAAGTTAAAGGGGCAGGCAGAGGTGCACATTATTCACCAGACTGCTTCAAATGTCATTAAAGAACCACAGAATTGTTATAGCATGGAAGGAGGCCACTTGGCCCATTGTGCGTACACTGGCTCTTCAAAAGCACATTATAAGACCGTAAGACCATAGATATAGGAGCAGAATTAAGCCATTCAGCCCATTTGTTCAAGGCTGATATGTTTCTCAATCCCATTCTCCTGCCTTCTCCCCATAACCTTTGATCCCCTTGCTAATCAAGAACCTATCTATCTCCATCCTCAATACATTCAATGACTTGACCTCCACAGCCGTCTGCAGTAATGAGTTCCACAGAGTCACCACCCTCTGGCTGAAGAAATTCCTCCTCATCTCAGTTCTAAAGGGCCGTCCCTTCACTCTGAGGCTGTGACCTTAGGTCCCCAGTTTCTCCCACTAATGGAAACATCTCCTCCACACCCATTCTATCCAGGCCTCTCAATATTCTGTAAGTTTCAATCACATCCCCCTCATCCTTCTAAACTCCATCAAGTACAGGCCCACAGTCCTCAGTTACTCCCCATATGACAAACCCTTCATCCCTAGGATCATTCTTATGAACCTCTGGACCTCCCCAACAGCAGCACATCCTTACTTACATATAAAAACTGATCACAATATTCCAAATGAGTTCTGACCAGGGCCTAATACAACCTCAGCAGTACATCCCTGCTTTTGTATTCTAGCCCTCTTCCAATCAATGCTAACATTGTATTTGCCTTCTTAACTGCTAACTGAACCTGCATGTTCACCTTAAGATAAAACTCAACTAGGATTCCCAAGTCCCTTTGTGCTTCAGATGTCCGAAGCCTTTCCCTATTTAGAAAATAATCTGTGCCCCTATTCTTCCTACTAAAGTGCATAACCTCACACTTCCCCACATTGCATTCCATCTGCCACTTCTTTGCCCTCTCTCTTAGCCTGTCCAAGTCCTTCTGCAGTATTCCCGCTTCCTCAACATTACCTGTACCTCCACCTATCTTTGTGTCATCTGCAAACTTAGCAACAATGCCCTCGGTTTTTTTTATCCAGGTCATTTATGTGTAGAGTAAATAGTTGTGCGCCCAACACTGATGCTGGCTCCCGTCCTGGAAAAAAACACTTTATCGCCACTCTTTGTTTTCTGCCAGTCAGCCAATCCTCTATCCATGCCAATACCTTGCCCCCAACACCATGGGCTGTTCTTTTATTTAGCAGCCTCCTGTGTGACATCTTGTCAAAGGCCTTCTGGAAATCCAAATAGATCACATCCACTGGATCTCCTTTGTCTGAGTAGCTCGCTACCTCCTCAAAGAATTCTAACAGATTTGTTAGACAAGACCTCCCCTTGACGAAGCTATGCTGACTCAGCCATATTTTACCATGCGCTTCTAAGTACTCTGTAATCTCATTCCTAATTATGGACTCTTAAATTTTACCAACCACTGAGGTCAGGCTAACCAGTCCAGAGTTTCCTGCCTTCTGACACACTCTCTTCTTACAGAGGGGTGTTACATTAGCGTACAACCAGTTGTTGTTAAAAACCCAATATGATTTACTAACGTCTTTTAGGGCCTACCACCCTTACCTGGTCTGGCCTACATGTGACTCCAGACCCACAGCAATGTGGTTGACCCTGAGCAATTAGGGATGGGCTATAAATGCTGCCCTAGCCAGCAACACCCTCATCCTGTGAATGAATAAAGAAAAATAAAAGCTGCAGCGATGAGAGTTATTTTTGATATGAAGGTAAGATGGTGATACTGAGGCTGTTGGTCTTGCAGTAGTGAAGGTTGAAAGGAAATTTGAGGTGATTTGGAGTAACACAGGGCCCCCTGCTCTCACCCCAGCTGCTCACAACATATATTCATCATCTAGTTGATGGAACTAAGTGCAATATCTCCAAGTTTGCAGATGATGCAAAGCTGGATAGGAGGGTGAGCTGTGAGGAGAATGCAGAGATGCTTCATTGTGATTTGAACAGGTTGAGTGAGTGAGCATCCACATTGGCAGGTAGAGAATAATGTGGATAAATGTGAGATTATCACTTATGGAGCAAAAACATGAAGGCAGATTATTATCTGAATGGTGATGGATTGGGAAAAGGGACCTGGGTATCCTTGTACACCAGTTTCTGAAAGTGAGCATTGCAGCAGCTGGTGAAGAAGCAAATGATGTGTTGGTCTTTGTAGCGAGAGGATTCGAGTACAGGGGCAGGGAGGTCTTGCTGTAATTGTACAGCACCTTGGTGAGACTATACCTGGAGTATTGGTCTCCTTATCTGAGGAAGAATGTTCTGGTTATGGAGGGATTGTAACAAACATTTACAGACTGATTCATGGCATGCAGGACTGATGTATAAAAAGAGACTGGATCTGTGAGGACTATACTTACCGGCATTTTAAACATTTAAGGACATCTCGTAGACACCTCTATAAAATTCTAACAGGACTGATGGATGAACACAGGAAGGATGTTCCTGATGACCAGGGAGTCCGGAACCAGGGGCTCACAGTCTAAGGATACAGGGTAGGCCATTTAGGACTGAGATGAGGAGAAATGGCTTCACCCAGAGAGTGGGAAGTCTGTGGAATTCTCTGCCACAGAAAGTGTTTGAGGCCAAAACATTGAATGTTTTCAAGAAGGAGTTAGATATAGTTCTTTGGGCTAAATGGATCAAAGGGTATGGAGAGAAAACGAGAACAGGGGGCTG